AATCGAACCTGGGACCTTTCACTTCACAGGCTGACACTCTAGCCACTGAGCCAAACCAGCTAGGGCTTGCCCTTCTTTAAAGGTGCCCCTGTTAACTTACATATTTAGTAGTTACCACCAAGAAAAGTGACTGTGAGCCAGGGAATAGAAGTTCACTGACCTTTCTTTTTCTTTTTTAAATATGTTTTTTATTAATTTTTAGAGAGTGAGAGAATTATCTATGTGAGAGAGAATCATTGATCAGCTTCCTTCTGCATGCCCCATACTAGGACTTGAGCCTGTAACCCAGGCATGTGCCCTGACTGGGAATCAAACCTGTGATCTCTTGGTGCATGGGATGACGCTCAACCAACTGAGCCACATACTAGCCAGGGCTCACTGAACTTTCTAATGAACGAAAGAGTATGAGGCCTGGGAATATGGGCTGTGTCAGACACAGCATGGTTTAGAAGAGGGAATGCTTGGTTTGAGTTGAAAGACTTGGCTTCATACTCAAGTAGCTTTGTGATGTTGAACATGTTACTTAAACTTGGAGCCAAACCTCAGTTTTCTAATCCATAGAATAGGCTTAATCCCAAATATGATGGGAATAATCTTATCTGCTTCCTGCCTTGGTGGTCACAAACAGTATAAAAATAAGATGAGAATATAATTTAAAAACTTTAAAGTGCTCTGAAATAATAGCTACCAACAACAATAGCTAACACTAATAGTGCTTAGTATGTATCAAGGATTGCTGTAAGTGCTTTACATATCTTATATTTAACCTTTCCAACAACACTAATGAAGGGAAGACATATCCAGCATCCCATTTTCAGTGACAGAGCCAGACTCTGAACCTGGGCAGGCTGGCTCCAAGTCTGTACTATTGCCTGCTACACTGGATGCTGACATGAGACAGAAAATTTATCCCTGGATAAGGGGTGGGAGAATCTATTTGAGAAATGAAAAACATGACCTGGCTATTTGGGCTCAGTGGATAGAGTGTCAGCCTGGGGACTGAAGGGTTGCAGGTTCAATTCCAGTCAAGGGCACATGCTAGGGTTGCATACATGATCCCCCTTCCATTCTAGGTATCCAGACCTCTCAGGATTTCTCCTATTTGGAGAAATCTCCTAGTTGGCGCATGCAGGAGGCAGCCAGTCAGTGATTTCTCTCATCATTGATCTTTCTATCTCTCTCTCCCTCTTCCTCTCTGAAATCAATAAAAAAAAATATATATATATATATATATATATATATATATTTTTTTTTTTTTTTTTTAAAGGAAATGAAAAACATTCATAAGGGTCTGTAGGTTTCCTCCAGGACCTTTTGTCTAGAGTAGACAAAACCCTTGAAGGATGATGGAACCTAATAGCCCCATTTGTCTGAGATACAGCTGAGACGCAAGCGATTTAGGAAGAGAGACAACTCTTAAATCAGTCATATGGGCACTCCTGTAATAGAAAAAGTAGAAACAGTATCTATCTTCAAAGTCCCCTGAAATCTCATAAAAATCATACCATAAAGTTCAAACTTCCAGAAAACTATCTGTTCTTCCTTCCTAGGTGATGGGCGCTACTCTCTCTTGGGCCAGCCATTGCAGTACAATCTGTCCATCTGCCCTCCTTTGCTCCATGGCCAGTCGACTTACACAGTGCACCAGGTAAGGATGTCCCCATCAGCCTTAGGACCATCAGACACCCCTTCTCATCCAGGCTCCTATCTCTGAGCCATCCACCTCAACCAGCAGGGTAGACAAGGGAGACAAAACAGAGAATGGACAGAGTAGGAGGAGCCTACCAATAGTGCTGAGTATGTATCAAGCATTGTTGTAAGTGCTTTACATATCTTACATTGTTGGTAGCTATTATTTCAGAGCACTCCAGCAATCACTCTTCCCATTCCACTTCAGTGTCAAGAGTGAAGGCTCTCTTTGTTTCTCAGTGGCCACTTGCTGGCCAATCTGACTGCCTGGTGAGATGGGGTCCTCAGGTTTGGGTGCCGCTGCTTAATCTCTCAGACAGACATTGGGATGCAAGGCAATCAATGTTATCTACCCAGGATGAGCTTGCTCTTTCCATGTTGAAGGGACAGAGTGGATTGAAGCATGGAAACCGGAGTAAGAGACAAGCTCTCAAATCTGCCTCCACTGACCTGGGGACCACGGATGTCGGTGAGTGACAGGATACTGAATCCCCAAGAGAATGTGCTCACCCCTCCAGGCCTACGTGAGCCCAGGATGGCTGGGGAAAGCCAGCTTAGGGAGGAGAGTGGAAATAGAGCCCTTTGTACTAAGAACAAGGAGAAGCTAGAGAAGTGAAGTATTTTTGTTCTTTTTACCAAACTATTCCAGGGCCTGGGAAAATGATAGTAAAAATTGGGAATAACACAATGCTGGGGGTCGTTGAGCCTATTATTAACCAAGAGTCTTCTGGGAGGGGTCCTGAATTTAATCTAGGATGTCTACCTTCAGTGGTCCTATACCAAATTGAAGAGAAGATTGACAAGAGAATATTGGGGGCCAAGGGGGGGGGGAGTGACTCTCCTCCTGCAGGCCTTCCATACTAGGTATCCAGACCTCTCCGGATTTCTCCTATTTGGAGCAGTTTGCCAAAAAAGTAAAGGAGGGAAACTGACTTCCCTAGGTGATAATAGAGGACTCTGTCTGGGCCAGCCTCTGGTAAGGGATCCTATTTGGCTATTGATTTTGTGAAAGAACATCAGCAAAAGCCATGCTTCCTGACAGTAACAGCTCCACGAGAAAACAGTCCCTTCTTGCCACCTCTTGACTGAAGAAGTTCGCTAGTTCCTTCTAGTTGCCTTGATCAGGATGGTGGGGAATTGGGTTGACTGGAGGAGGAAAGGGCTAAGTGGGAAAGGCTGGGCTTTTGAGGACATTGTGTGTAGACTTGATCCACTAAATACTTCTCTGCTGGGTCGCTGTGCAGCCCTCCTGTTCTAACGCTCTCACAATGTCCTCTTTCCTCCCTTTCCAGTCCTGGGGCGGGTGCTGGAGGTGACAGATCTTCCTGAGGGCATCACTCGTACGGAGGCGGACAAACTCTTCACTCAGCTCGCCATGTCCGGCGCCAAGATCCAGTGGCTCAAGGACGCTCGGGGGCTGCCTGCTGGGGGCGGGGGGGACAGTAGTGGGACTGCTGAGAATGGTCGCCATGCAGACCTTGCTGCCTTGTACACCATTGTGGCTGTGTTTCCCAGCCCCCTGGCTGCCCAAAACGCCTCCCTTCGCCTCAACAACTCCGTGAGTCGCTTCAAACTTCGAATGGCCAAAAAGAACTATGACCTGAGGATCCTGGAGCGAGCCAGCTCCCAATAAATCTGAGGGGAAAGGACTCGCACAGCAGGGGTGCGGGCAAGGTGGACAACTCCCTGGCAGACCATGGACAGAGAGAGAAAGGAAGGCGACAGACACTAACCTGGAGCCTAAGACAGTAGGGATGAAGATAGAAACAGACAGACACACTGGCACTGGACTCCTTACTCCCTGCCGTGGGCCCCCTCTCCCTGGTTGGCCTCCCTCTGTTACCCCCTCCTTTCCAACCTCTCCTATCATTCTTTATCTCTCCTCCCACCGTGAAATGGATTTCTCTCATATTTTTTGGTCAGGTAGAATTGGGAGGGTTCTACACTCCCTGATCTCCTAATTTCCTTACCATCCCAAGCTCCCTTTTCATTTTTGGTCTTTATGAATATATTTATATGGAAAGAATTAAGAAAAATGAAATTGATTTCCCTTTCTTCTCACTTTTCCCATCTTGTCACCCCAAGCCCCACAAAGTTAAAACTTGGGCCTCCCCCTAACCCCCCAGAACACTTGTATATTGTTTGTTTGAGGTTCATGCCGCAGTAACAGACAGTATTTAATTGCACATACAGATGTTTGCTAGGTATATTCACTGTAAATTTTATTTAATCTGATTTTTTGTTTGTTAGGGGGGTTACTGGGGGAAGGTTGATTTTGTTTTTAAATATATATAAAAAAAAAAAAAAGTCAATTGGACGTCAGTCCCCGTTTCTCTTTTATTGTCCTGGAGTGGGTAAGGGTTGGAGGTCCTGGGTAGGTACAGCCGCACAGAGTGGAGTGATTTGATGTGGGTTTGGATGGCCTTTCTAGCATATGAACACTTATATTCTTAACACTATTTCCTGTGTCCCAGCCTCCTCCTCACACATAATTCTGATAGGTGGCTGGGTCTCTACTGGGACCTTGGTTCTGAGCTCTCCCAACTCTGCCACTAACTGTGGTTCATCAGGCATATCACTTCTCAACTCTGCAGCTCTGAGTCCTTATCAAGAGCCCAAGAGACGTGACTGGCTGGGTGACCTCTGAGGTTCCTTCCACTCTTTTCCTTCTGTGACACTCATTTAGGGTCCCTGAGGCTGAGCTGCAGAGGGGTAAGTGAGGTCCAGAACTGGGTTGAATGCTGACCTCTTACCTGTCCATCCAGTCTGCTGAAAACTCTTCAGGGATGGAAGGCTTGGGCCTTACTTTAATCCTAAAGCCAGTCGATTGGGTTCTTCCTGGCAGGAACAGAGTAGATGTTTCTTACAATAAAAGTTACATCAGTTAAACTTGCAGTACCAAGACACCAGGTGTTTTCAACCACCCCTGCTATGCAGCTGAAGAAAGGTGAAGAGCCGAAGTCACCTGCCTGCAAGGTGGAGCTTTTCCTCTGAGGCTTCTCAGAGCTAGTCTGTTGTTCAGCCTGTCAGACCAGAGTCATTAAAGAGCCCATATACCCAGAACAACCAGCAGCCCCTTTTCAATCTTGCCCACCCATTAAAGGAGTGGGGGATGGAAATGACAAAGAACGTTGCCCTGGAAATCTCTTGGGTCTGGGGAGCAGTTTCTCTAGCTAGGCTCCTCTGAAGCTTGTCTAACCCAACCTTCAGCATAACACTTTACTTGAACAGATACAAGGGTTAAAATGGCACTGTATTGTCACCTTCAAATTGCTATCCTCTGAGATGGCGGTATCTCCTTTTTCAGCCGCGTCACACAGGGCAGGAGAAGGCTGCCTGCCTGAGATAAGAATGCCTGATAACTCCCTGACCCATCAGTTCATACACTGGGCCATCTGAGGAGGGAAATGAAATCGGAATCAAAGTGACTGGGAGTGGGAAGCCTGGCATCCTACCACCTCCCAAGAGTTTGCAGTTCTCTGGGGATATTACTTGAAGGTGATAAAAACTCCCCGGGTGGCAGCTATTATTGCCTGTGTCCATTGTTAGGCCTTCTGTACCTGATCACACCCCCCCCCCCCCCCCCCCCAGGCCCCCAACCTGGCTTTTTAAAATAGAATTCCTTTCACCCTGAGGACAAGATTTTAGAGGAATAGGGGGAAGATGCCTCTGGGGACAGTTGGAGAAAACAGAGCAATACCACATGTTCTTCACTTCCTGTCAAGATGGCAGGAAGGTAGCCCTCCAACTTCCCACAGAGAAGAAAGCAATGTAGTCTGGCCTATTGGAGAGTTCTGACAATTCAAAGTTTCCTTTCTTCACCATTTCCCAGCCCTTTTCTTTCCAAAGGTTTGAGTTTAAATCTATGCTTGATGGTATAAAGACACATGGCGACAAGAAGAATGGCTGGGAAGTTCAAGGCCTAATTCCTAAAGCAGGTCCAGGGAGGGTAGAATTGGGGGAAATTTTGGAGAAAGGGGATTGGTTGGAAAGGCTGTTCATAATCCTTACCTTCATTCATCTAAAATTATCCAAAGGAGTGTACAGCATGAACACTGTCCCCTCCTGAATTTACCCAATACTGACCTGCACACCACAGATGAGAAACTAGGGAACAGCAACTCTGGGAGGTAGGAGGAGTTAGGGTCCAGGCCTTCCCCATATCCAATTTCTCTATGTCAGCTGTGTCACTCAGCTGTCCACTTCACTCCAGCCCTGTCGTTCCAGCTCTGACACCGAGGCAAGAGGCTCGGTCTACAAATACCATCTGGGTGGCTGGTGTGAGTTCAGAGGGTACTGGGGGGGTTTAGCCCCCAAGGAAGAGGACCAACCTTCCTCCAGTGCTACCGTCAAGACTGAATTAACAGGGAATCCCAAACGTGAGTTGCCTCTTTATCCTCTTTCCGTTTCCAGGACTGCTCACCCCAGCCTCCCCAATCCGTAGTCTGTTCAACTTCATTTCTCTTCTTGTCTAGTAGTTTAGGTTTTAGGAGTGAAATTATTCTACTCCAGGATAAAGAGCTAGGATTGGAGTGGGGTCAAGAGAAGGGAGTAGAAAGGGAAGGAAAGGCTCATATTACTTGGAAAACTTAAAATAGCTGAGGCCTGAGGCAAGCTGGGAACTAGGCCCTAGGCCCCCGGGCGCTCAAGGAAGTAGAGAACAAGTGCCCCAGCCCAGCCCTCCGCACATCAGCCTCCGGATAAAAGGAGGTCTGGGGAGATGTGTGTCCTCTCTCTACTGCCCATGGGTTCCCAGGAGAAATGAAGTACCTGTTGGAAAATCCCTAAACCAGGCAGCCTTGAGTACTGACTGTGTTGGGGCTACAAATTTGGGGGTTGCACTTCAGAGTGGATGGATGGGTTTTGGTTTGAGGAACTAGTTGGGAAGTTCTTTAGTCTGTTGTGTTTTTCTCTGGATCTCCATGGAATTTTCCTATCCATAAGCTCTGTGAAAAGATTTCTAACCAAAGTTCTCCCAAAACCTCCCCTTCAAGGACCACCCTACTAAAAGGGAAAGAAATAAGGGAGGGAGAATGGCAGTCAGGGATTAGATGTCATAGTGGGGTCCAACCTCTTGCAGGATGACAGAAAAGAAGGTGCTGGAGTCCCCTAAGCCCTCCCCAGCAGAGACTCGGCAAAGTGGGGTGAGTCAGGGCCTCTGACCACTGGGTGTGGGGAACTGGGAAGCCAGTGCAGCACTTGAAGAAAAGTGCTTGAATTGATCTCACTTGTATGCGACTCCTCTGCTGTTAGAATGCCTGCCAGCATCTGCAGCCCCAGTAATCCCTCCCCCCCAATCCTGCCCCAAGCTAGAAAAATGTCTAGTGAGCTTCAGCTTTATCTAGTCTAGAGAGCATGACAATTCTTTTAACACTGGGTTTCCTTCATTTCTTCCTCCCCCCCAAACTTACCCCCCATTCCCAGCTCCAGCGGCTGAAGCAGTTATTCAGAAAGGAGTCTACCGAGACCAAGGAGATGGAGCTTCCCCCAGAGCCCCAGGCTAATGGGGAGGCCGTGGGAGCTGGGGGTGGGCCCATCTACTACATCTATGAGGAAGAGGAGGAAGAAGAGGAGGAGGAGGAGGAGCCACCCCCAGAACCTCCTAAGCTTGTCAATGATAAGCCCCACAAATTCAAAGATCATTTCTTCAAGAAGCCCAAATTCTGTGATGTCTGTGCCCGGATGATTGTGCGTGAGTCATGAAGGGAAGGAGAAAGCATGTGATGTTGAAGGCAGGGACTGGGAAAGGGCTTAGCAGAGGAGTGTTGGTATAGCAGACAGGCTGTGGCAAGATATGGCTTTAAGGAAAGACGGTTAGAGACTGAGCATGTGGGGTCCCACACAGAAAAGGAAGTAGGCACTATAGTAGCAGCGATGGTACAAAGGGCAAGGGAAGTAGCAACCTCACCCAAATGTTCTCCCCTCTCCCAAGTCAACAACAAATTTGGGCTTCGCTGCAAGAACTGCAAAACCAACATCCACGAACACTGTCAGTCCTATGTGGAGATGCAGAGATGCTTCGGCAAGATTGTGAGTAGGCTTCGGGGAGCAAGAAAATAGAGGGAGCATGTTTCCAGCCACACCCCTGCCAGTCTCTCCTCAGACCACCCCTCCATGTCCCTGCTTTTTCTTTTTTATTGGTTTCAGAGAGGAAAGGAGAGGGAGGGGGAGAGAAACATCCATGTTGAGAGAGAATCATGAATTGCTGCCTCCTGCACGCCCCCCATCAGGTTTCAAGCCTACAACCCAGGCATGTGCCCTTGACTGGGAATTGAACCTGGGACCCTTCAGTCCACAGGCCTATGCTCTATCCACTGAGCCAAACCAGCCAGGGCTCCCTGCTTTTTCTTTCTCAGCTCATCTCTTACTTCAAAAAGGGGTGAGCACTCATGGGAGAGATGGGGTTCTGGGTCCTGCCTTGCTCTTTCTGATGCTTTCCATCCTACCCCACAGCCCCCTGGTTTTCATCGGGCCTACAGCTCCCCACTCTACAGCAACCAGCAGTACGCTAGTGTCTGTAAGTGACTCACATGGAACCGGAGGGAATGGGCAAGTTTAGAGATAGTTTCAGCACACCTCTAGATTTAGAAACTAAATTCTGAAACAGAAAGATTCTCCATCCCATGGTTCTCTCTTAACCTAATAGTTTAGCCACCTTGGATGCAGAGTCAATATTCCCCTATTTGATAGCTGAGGGAGACAAGATTTAGCTAGGTCTCCACACAGCCAGCAAGAGGCAGGGCCAAGACTGAATCTTCATCCAAAGCTGTGCTCTGCATATGCAAAACCATTTCTAAGAGAACAAGAATTGCACTCATCCTTGTTACAGAAGAGTGCCAGCTTATGGCCAGACCCAGAGCTATGGACATCCTGGGCAGATGCATAGTTTAGCAATCCTTAACACTGATGTTGAGGTGAAGCTAAATTCTGTGATGAGTAAGGGTATAAAAAGGACAGCCGGTACAAGCACCCCTGCTTACTTATGCCACAGGGGGCCAAAAAAGCCAGCAGTTAAAGGACCACTCTCCTGAGAAGGAGAATGGGAACTCTGAGCATTCCCCAATGCCCAAGCAACTTAGTAAAGTTGACTTTCCAACATCATATAATGAATGCTCTGTCTGGAAGGAGTGCTGGTGAGTATTTTTCTCCATTACATTACATTTCCAATGATGTTTTTAGAGCTCTTTATAGATTGATGATCTAGGTATGCCCAGATGACAACTTTCCTGATCCGACACACACACACACACACACACACACACACACACACACACAGGTATCTACTCAGTCACACCTCTCCCTTACTTAGGAGGTCTCTCCTCCAAGCCTTTCCCTGCCTCCTCAGTAATGTCTTCTTTCTTCTCCCATTCCCACCAGCTTCTGCAAATCGTAATGACCCTGTGTTTGAAACACTGCGCACTGGGGTGATCATGGCAAACAAAGAACGGAAGAAAGGACAGGCAGATAAGAAAAATGTGAGCACCATACCTCTTACTGAGTTCCTTTCCAGAGACCCCATGTCTCCTCTCTGGAAAGCTGGAAGAAGCTAGGATCCCTTTCCCCTAAAATTGCACATAACCGAACAGACAGAGTTTTGCATGCGATTTTAGAGGGCCTCAGGTTAAGAACAACTGTCATAGCATGCGTTTTCTCCAGGAACTCCTTTGTGAAACTGTCAGATTAGTCACTATAACCAACTGAAGGCTAGACCCCAGGCCACTGGCATTGCTAGACAAGAGAGGCAAGAGCTGTGCTTTTGAATTCAGGGAACAGAATTTGCCCAGTAATTCTGGAGTCATACAAGGGTCCATGAAGATCATCTGGTCTGACCCATTTATTCTATAGATGAGGTAACTGAGGCACAAAGCTGGTGGCCTTTTATAATAGGACTAGAGGCCTGGTGCACAGATTCGTGCACTGTTGGAGTCCCTCAGCCTGGCCTGTGCCCTCTCGCAATCTGGGACCCTTTCCACGTCCCCCGAGGGATGTAGTGGTGCACAAAGCGGTAGGCAGCTGAGTAGGAGCCTGAGCCCAGGCCAGGCGCTGCTCCTGCTCATCCCAGCCCCGCTGTGCCTGCTGCCACTCAGTCGCGCTGCAGTGGAGGTGGGACAGCAGCTGCACTTGCCAGCCATAAGCCCAGCATCTGGCGCCCTTCGCTCAGTTGAGTGGTACTCCCATTGTGGGAGCGCACTGACAACCAGGGGGCAGCTCCTGCATTGAGCACCTGCCCCCTGGTGGTTAGTGTGCGTCATAGCAACAGGTCGTTCTGTCGTTCAGTCATTTGGTCACTTAGACTTTTATATATATACTAGTAAATTACCAAAGTCATGATGCCATAGATTTGCATTCAGTTCAGCAAGGGGTTTGTCAGTGTAACCTTATACCTTTCTGGACAACCAGGATGGACTAATGTAGATAACAGTTCCGGTTAGATGGAATGCTAAAATTGACTAAAGGACAGTACCCAAAGGACCCTAGTCCTTTAGGGAGTGTCCAGCTACAGGAAGATTGCTGATGGCCCATAACATGATTTTGTCTTTGGTCCTCACGTATGAACATTTTTCTCACTGGTGCAAATGAAGACATAAATGGTATACCCATCAAGTTTGTGGGAAACATAAAAGGAAAAATTTATACTGAATAATATATTCAGAAATCTTATAGACTAGAAAAAGGCCCAGCACTAATCATTTAAAATTTTGTAAGGAAAAAACAAAAATAAAAAACACAACAACAAATCAACTGCACAAAAACAGAACTAGAGACTTGGCTTCAAAGTAGTTGATATGGAAGTTGGGTACAGATTAGGGAATTCTGTGGAGGGAGCTATGACTGTAAGGCACTAACAATGTGATTTGGCTGCTTCCAGAAGGGCTAGCACACTCGGGTTCTGTTTTCTTATGGGAATTATAAAAGCTATGTTGCCCATTTTTCTCTTATACACCGAAGTATTTTTAAGGACAGACATAGTAAAGGACATAGTATTGGGATCTTAGGGAATGATTTGAAGGGACTGAGAATAATTAGAGAGGAGGGGAAAAAAGGCAGGAAGGACATGTGCTAACATGTCCTCAGATCTTTAAAGGGATTATATTGGTTCTATATCCCTTCAGAAGGCAAATCAGGGAAATGACTAATAGTTACAGGGAGACTGGCATAGGTTAATATGGGGAAATGTCCTATAAATAAATTGCATGGGCTTATTTTGCAAGGTAGTGAGTTCCCTATCATTAGCTGCATTCAAGCACAATGTGGGCGGCCCACCTGCCAGGATGTTTCAGAGAACGTCTCTGCGTTAGGCAGGTGATTGAATAGATATTTTCTCCAATGCTCCTTCCAACCATTCGATCCTGTTATTCTCTGCCTGACTGGAGAGCCGGGGCAAGCATGGGTTCCCAAGACAGCATCTTCCTAACTCTGGTGTATCCTCCAGCCTCTAGCAGCCATGATGGAAGAGGAGCCAGAGTCGGCCAGACCAGAGGGAGGCAAAGCCCAGAACGGTGAGTGACACCCACCTCCATCCACAGAGATAGAGGAGGTCAGGGGCTCAGCAGTGCCCGGGGAAAGGACGGTAAAGGATGCACAGGTTTGGAGAGAAAGGAGGCCCCGCCACAGAAGGATAAGAGGATGAGGCATACCCTCCAGGAACCAGAGACAACTTGTTGGTGTTTCTCATCCCAGGAAACCCTGAAGGGGATAAGAAGGCTGAAAAGAAGACACCTGATGACAAAGTGAGACTCCTTTCTCCCTGCAAGGAGCCCAGTCCTTTTCCCAGCCCAGTCTGACACCTCTCTCCACCTCAGCAAGAGCTCACACTGCCCCTCGGTTCCCGTTCCCCTTAACCGGCCTTCCCCACCACCTTACACACACACTACTAATGCCTTCCTCACAGTTCAGGGACCGGAGAGCGTTGGAATGGAGGGTGTCGGGAGAATGCTCCTGCCTCGGGCTCCTGCCCCTCCATGTGGGACAGAGGAGTCCTGAGGCTCATCCCCTTTCATCCCCAGCACAAGCAGCCTGGCTTCCAGCAGTCTCATTACTTTGTGGCTCTCTACCGGTTCAAAGCCCTGGAGAAAGACGACCTGGATTTCCCGTGAGAGGCCTTACGATTGGGGTGGGGGTGTCCTGGGTGCGGAGAGGGCACAGCCAGCTCCCTCTGGGAAAGGAAAGGGGGAAGGGATGCTCAGGGCTTGGAGCTTATGGAGGCTGGGCCTGGGTACGGCCAAGGGACTGGAGACTAAGGCCCCTAAATCTCAGAGCCCCTCCCCTCCCCTGCCAGGCCTGGAGAGAAGATCACAGTCATTGATGACTCCAATGAGGAGTGGTGGCGGGTAAGAGAAATGACTGAGGGGAGGGTGGGGCATGGGTTGAGTTTAAAAGGCTGATTCTCCCCACCATCTCCTCTAGGGGAAAATAGGGGAAAAAGTCGGATTTTTCCCTCCAAACTTCATCATTCGGGTCCGGTCTGGAGAACGTGTTCACCGGGTAACAAGATCCTTCGTGGGGAATCGCGAAATAGGACAGATCACCCTCAAGAAGGACCAGGTTAAAAAATAAAATTAAATTTAAAAAAAGACCAGGTAGCTGTGGTGCCCCAACCCAACCCCAGGCCGGGAGGCTCCTCTGCAAACCGCACTCCATCAATGAAAGTAGGAGAGGCCTCCGTAACTCCGGCCTCCCCTGCTCTCCTCTACAACTGTTTTCCCTTGGTTTCTCTCCTCCCTAATCCTTTAATCCTAGATCGTGGTGCAGAAAGGAGATGAAGCTGGCGGCTACGTCAAGGTCTACACTGGCCGCAAGGTGGGGCTGTTCCCCACCGACTTCCTGGAGGAGATTTAGGTGTGCGGGCAGGCGCCTGCCGGGGAGAGACCCGGGCCGGGATCTGGGCAGGCCCAGTGGGAGCTGGAGAAGAAATGGAGCGAAAGCAACTACACTGAGCAAGGGAGGAGCGGGAAGGCCCGCCGTAGCGAGACGGGGCTCCTGGGAAGGAGGGGCTCCCGCCCTCCTCCCTCGGCTCTGCCCTCAGACACTGGTGCCTAGAACAGCCTTTGAGAGCTGGAAAAAGAGTGCGTTTCCACTAGGAGACGCCCTGGGGTGCGGGGGGGTGGGGGGGTGCGGGGGGGGTGGGAGGCGAACTGTTGAATGTTGTGAATTCATTAAAGTTTTGACAAAAGTTAGAAAAGTTTGTTCTTTAACTCGGGGCCAAGGAGGGAGAGGGCCTGCGGAGTGGTGGAAAATCCTCCCAGCGGTCACATTTTGCTGCCATCGGGTAACCTGAAACCCGCCTGGGCTGAGCCAAGGGCGTCCGCTAGGTGAGGCTCTGTGGCCAGTAAAGAACAGAGAGCCGGCCTGGGGCCACCCCCCGCCCCCTCCCCGCGCCGCCGGGGCTGGGAACAGGACCGGGTTGCGGGGTAGGTCCCTCCAGTTTTTGGCGATTTGGCCGCGCACAGCCCCTTGCGTTTCGAAGCCTGGCTCAGTGCCGAGCTGGGCCGCCAGGGGGCGATGCAAGATCTCGGTTGGAGAGCGAGGCACGGGGGCCGAGGCGGCGGGGAGAGAAGAGAACCAGAGACAAGGAGCCCGAGACCCTGGGCCTGGGAGGGGGTGGGGTGCGTGCCGTCTCCATGGCAACACTTCCTCAAGTCCTCCGGGAGCCGGGCGAGCGAGGCCCGGGGGCTTAACCCCTCCCGCGCGGCCCCCGCCCCGGCCTGACAGGTACCGAGTGAGAGGGCGCCGGGCAGACAGCTACAGGGCTCGGCGGAGAAGCCCCCTGCGGCGCGCCGTATGCAAATGTTTTCATTTGCATATGTAGACATGCAAATAGACCGGCCTTGGTCAGGGTGGCAGGTGGCAGGGAGCGGGAAGGTGCGGGGAAGGGAGCTGGAGGAGGAGTGTAGGGACCTGGGAGTGGGCCCGTGAGAGGCAGCCTGGGGTGGTCGCCGGAGTGGAGCCTGAGGAGGGTCTTGGGCTTGATGGCGGCTGGGGGGAGGGTCAGCGTGGCCAGCCAGGAGATCCTCTTCTCCTGCCCGCTGTCTGCCAGGCCTGAGGTTGGCACCGCCTAGCAAGGTTGGCAGCGGGAGCCCAGGCACCATCTGCTGCTGGCGGGAAAGGGTGGGGGGAGGACAGAGGCTCAGCTGGGCTGGGGAAAAGGAGGGCCCGGGACCGGCGTGCCCCCCCTCCTTCCAGAAGGCTGAGGTGCGGTGGGGGTAGGGAAACACACCAGAGGACTCATTGCAGAGCCGGGTTCTGTCTTCTGTTCCTTTGCTCTGGACTGCACTGGATTCCTTGGCGGCGGGTGAGGGGGGTGGAGGGGGTGCGGGGTCCTAAAGGAAGACTCAGGTAGACCACAGGCCTTCCCCCCACACCCTCACACACACATCAAGCCTTTGCCCCCATGCCTCCTGGGGCGGGATCTGCCTACCACGAATGGGGGTGGGCGAGGAACAACTAGGACTTGGGTCCTATCTCTTCATCATCAAGCAGTCTGAGGGACTCAAAACCAGAGCCCCTGAGCTCCTTGAGTGGGGCCCCCCACAATGCTGAAGCAAAACCAATTTACTGGCTCATTGGGCGGCGATGCTGGTGTGGGGGTACTGAGACAGAGAGAGCGGCTGTTCTCCCCCCTATACACTCGGGGGGCACCCCCCTTCCCCGCCTCGCAGAGCCGGCAGCTGTCCCTAATTAGAACGGCGGTTTAATTGGATTTATCAGCAGTTAATAGGAAATTAAGCAAAGGGCCCGAGAGAGGGAGGGCAGAAGGTGCGGGAAGACCGGCTGTGCGGAGCTGGCAGGACGGGTGCTGGGGGGCCAGGGTTGGGGACGCAGGCCCAGTGTCGTGATTGAGCACCCCCCCCCCCCGTCATGTCCCGACACCCCAGGACTTGCCCGCTGGTGTAGCCCTGGCCCTCTGGCAAAGAGCAGGTCTTAGGAGAGGGAGTCGGGGACAACAGAGACCCTTTGGGGGCCCCAAAGCCCTCTGCTCCTGCCAGCGGCCACCTGGGTGATGGATAATGCTGCCTTACACTGCAAAGGTCATAAGTCTGGGCCAAGGAGCGACTGAATCCCAAACAGACCGGAGGGGGGCCATTATGAGGGTCCAAGATACAACCCACACCCTGCCCTTCCCCAGTGCCCACGACTCATGGCAAAGACAGCGCCCCTTGGCATCAGAAGATCGGGCAGCGCAGGGGGGAGGGGAGATGGACTGAGCCTCCCTCCCACCCCCTGCCTCCTGGCTGTGTTGAGGATCCTGGGAGTCCCTGCACAGCCCAGGTCCCTCTGTGGCTCCGGCTCCTGCTTTTCTCCTCAGCTGCTGGGGTTGGGGCTGGGTTGGCTGAGGCCAGAGTGGCCCAGCGTCTGCAACACCTGCCCTGGGGGCCCAGGGAGAGAGTGTGCAGGCAGGCAGGCCGGGTGCAGGGTCAATAGCCCCAGGCGCCTCCTGTCAGCGGGCCCTCCTGCCATCAGGACCTCATTACAGGCTGGAATAACAAGGCGTTCTAGCCGGGACTCCTCTCCACACACTCCTCCACCTCAGGGCACGGCTCCGCATGTGTGTGGGTGCCAGCCTCTGACCGTGTGGGGGTCTCTGTGCGCTTGGCAATTATGGGTGTCTGTGTCCCTGGTGTGCAGTGTGTGTGCACATTGGTGTGCGCCCCTGTACCCTGAGTAAGTATCTGTCTTGTCACCATTCTGCCCCCCCCCGCCCCCCGCCAGTTCCTGTTATTTTTGTCGGTCTGAGCCCCTGGGTGTCTAGGTGTGCGCATGTGCCTTGGCGTGTCTGTGCATTCTCCACACCTGGGTGTGCCCGAGGTAGGCATTTCCGTGGGTCTCTGCCCCCCCCCCCCCCGCGGGGACTGTGTCTGGGTGTGAGTCAGGAAGAGCTGCTAGCCAGTGTTTGCTGCTCCGGCATCCACACCTGCAGGTGTGTGCGCGCCGCGGGGGCGTGGGCCTGGGTGTGAGCCGCGCGGCGGCGGCGCGGATGCCAAAGCCGGGGACGCAGGCGCCGTGTGCCTGTGCCCCGCGCCCGCCACCCTCCCACCCCCGCCCCTGCCTCTCCGCTCCCGGGCCGCTCCTCTCCGCCGTCCGCATCATCTCCATCCATTATTGAAGGAACAGCCGCGTCCGCTCCAATCACATCAACAGCCCCCGCCCCACTCGGTTCCGCTCGCCCGCAGCCCCTCCGGGCGCCGGGGAGGGAGCGCCGAGCGCCGCGGGGGCCCCGGCGGGAGCGCGCTGGTGACCCGGTGCCCCGAGCCGGGCCGGGCGCCGGGACACCGGGGTCCCCGGCGGCGGAGGGCGCTTTGCATAAACAGATGGCGCGGGCGTCTTTGTCTCGCTCCCTCGCTCCCTCGCTGACTCTTCGAGCGGCTCCCGGGTGCTCGGCGGCTCAGCTGATGCAATCATGATCGTCTCCGAGCCTCGGGACCCGAGCCCTTCAGAGCGGCGGCGGGGGTCAGGGCCTCGGGGCTCCCGAGCAGATGCTGGGCTCCGTGCCCTCCCTCCCGGCCCCGCCCCCGCGCCCCGCGGCTGCAGAGGGAAGACGGAGCCCGCGCTGAGGTGGCGGGCATGTGGAGGTGACCGGAAAGGGGACCCCGGTCAGCGCCCCGAGGTGTCCCCGGGCTGTCCCATCGGGCCGCTGCAGCCCCCACCCCTCCGGAGCAGCGAGCCAGAGGACAGGACTCCAGCTAGAGAACGGGAGGGAGAGACAGAGGAAGAGCGACAGAGGCATCTGTAATGAGACACCGCGAGGCAGAGATGGAGAGGGAAGGAGAGACAACAGAGAGACAGAGACGGCTGCAGAGGGACAAAGCCAGGCAGAGAGCTTCCGAGGAAGAGACAGGCAGCCGGGATGATAGGAACAGAGACACACAGACATAGACAGAGACACCGAGACAGACAGGACCCCGAAGAGAGGAGGACATGCAGGGCTGAGGGCAGACCCTGGACAGGGATGGAGCTCCCCAACCCCCCAGCCCCTAACCCCCGCCTCTGGGGCTGCCCAGCTTCACGAGAGGACTCATCCTGCACCTGGGATGCCCGAGGCTGGCGAGGTGGGAGCTTCCGTGTCTCACTCCGCATCCTCCACCCCGCCCACTGCGGAACCCACTGCGGAACCCACTGGGGGACCCACTGCCTGGGCCGCGGGGGTGGCAGGAGCGGCGGGCGGGGCGGGAACCGCACTCCAGGAGCCGCCTTACCTGCCCCAAAGCAGTGGGGCGCAGGCCCGTCGCGGCCCGACAGGGGGCGTCCGAGGCATCTCCCCTGAGCGCTTCGGAGCAGCTCGGCCTCCAGGGGGCGCCCGCGTCCCCGGCCCCCGAAGTCAGCCTACGGCGCCGAACCCAGCTTCTCCTCACCTGGCGGAGCCATCTGCATGCGGAGCAGCGTCCGGCGCGATTTAGCGTTTGGAGTCCGGTCGCGGCGGGACCCTGGCCGCCCCTGGCCCCGCCCCATCCACCGCTAATGTCTCTGCGGCCCCTCACCCGCTGGGTCAGCCTGGCCGGAATCCTGTGGGTGGGGGGAGCTGGGATCTGGAACCAAACAGTTCTGTGTTCGCCCTAGAGGTCCTGATCCAGAGGTAGGAGTGGGCTTAGAAATAAGAGTCACAGCTGAAACCCATTTGGCTCAATGGATAGAGCATCAGTCTGCAGACTGAAAGGTCCCGGGTTCGATTCCTGTCAAGGACATGTACATTGGTTGTGGGCACTTCCGCAGTAGGGGGTGTGCAGGAGGCAGCTGATCGATGATTCTCTCTCACTGATGTTTCTAACTCTCTATCCCTCTCTCTTCCTCTCTGTGTAAAATCAATAAAATATGTATTTTTAAAAATAGAGTCACAGAGAAGGTGCCAGAGATTGGCACCAGACGCAGGGGGGTCAGGGACCCCGAGAGTCCAAATCAGAAGCAAAAACGTGACAAGTTGGGAGGGAAGGCGGAGGCGCAGGGCAGGAAAGGAGCAGGCAGAGGTTTGGGACGTGCTGGGCCACGTCACTGGGGAAAGGACCCAGGAAGGCGGGCGAGAGAATCAAAGGGGTGCGGCCAGAGGTCCCCGTGGGCTTCCTGGCGCACCAGGTGTGCCACACAGAGCCAGATGTGCAGCCCAGCTCTGGGATTGATTGTCCTACCGGACAGCCTGGGGACACCTCAAGGCACCGACTGAGGTCCCCTTTCCCTCCACGTGCCCGCCACCTCAGAGACTGGAAGGCTGGGGTGCACGGGTGACAGACACCCCACGCCCTGGCCAGGTGGAGTGCGAGTGCTCGGGGCGGCGTGGCACTGCGCCGCTCTAGGCTCTGACATCCCTTCAGCCAGCCCCCCTCCCCGCCCCCACACGCCAGTCTCGGTCTCTTTGTTTTCGCCGCGTCTCTGACACTTCATCTCATTATGCGCTGGAGGGAGGCTCTAGCCTGGGACCCCGCATCCCAATTACAGCCGCACTTGTCAACGCAGGGGACAGGGGGAGACTCAGCTCCAGGGAGAGGAAGGAAGCCCCCGGAAGGGCCCCTCCCCGCTGTGCCGGGTCCCCAGAGGCTGGTGCACAGGTCGCCCTTGCCCCAGCCGCCACAGGGCTGTGGAGGGAGGTGGGGAGCTGGGGCATCCGGCTGAGCAGGGGGAGGCAGGGAGGGAGGGAGAGGGTGGAGGTTAGTCTGGGAGTGGGAGGTAGTTAGGGTGGGCTTCTGGGTCCCTGGAACCCCAATTCCCCAAAGATGGTGAGTGAGCCTTCTTGCCCTGACAGCATAGCACCGGGGGCAATCAATTGCTTGCTCTGCACTTCCGTTTGTGTGTCTTGTTCTCTTTCCTCCTTCAACATCTTGTCTGTCTTTCCTGAACTCGTTTTCTCACTCCCTTCTCCTCTGCCACAGCCAGAGGCAGAGAGTGACCTCATTGGACAGCTGCCCCTTCCCCTTCCCCAAGGGAGGCAGGGCAAGCTGGTTTCTCAAGCCCCCAAACTTCCACAGCTGACTGACTCACTCTGTCCCAAGCCCCAGTGCAGACACCGCCAGCTACCCTGGCCTCCAAGCGCGGTTCCAGGCCAACCAGAACACAACTGGGAGGAACCACCCAGAGTAGAGGGGCTGCAGCCGCTTTAGCTCTTCTGTTGGACTGTCTGTCCCCCCTCCTCCCACTACACTGTGTGTGTGGGGGGGGACAGAACCAGCGCCTCCAGGACCTGCTGCTCCTGATGCTCTTGAGAAGTGATTCCCAACCTTTCCTCTCATGTCACACAGAAACTAATGAGTAAAATTCCGCAGCACACCAATGTGTGTGTGTGTGTGAGAGAGAGTGTGTGTGTGTACTAGAGGCGTGGTGCATGAAAATTCATGCACTGGAGAGGGGGTCCCTCAGCCCGGCCTGCCCCCTCTCACAGTCCAGGAGGCGGGAGGTGACCTGGCAATCAGGGGAAGGCAACGCCCCATCTCACCTCTGCTGCTGCCACTGCCAGCAGCGCAAGCCTCAGCTGGCCCTGGTTACCTGAACCTCAGGCAGCCCTGGGAAGCTGGGCAGCCGCCATCTGAGGCTTGCTTGTGCCTTGGGCTGGCCCTGGGCAGCTGGGGGGGGGGGGCTGAGGGCACTGGAGGACTCCAGAGGTGAGTGGGCCTGGCCTTGTCACATGCCTGCCACCCTGGTGGGGCTGAGGGGACTGTGCACTGCCATCTTTGAGGGTGTGGCAGTCAATTAGCATATTCCCTCCTTATTGGTTTATTTTTTAAAAAATATATTTTATTGATTTTTTTACAGAGAGGAAGGGAGAGAGATAGAGAGCTAGAAACGACCAATGAGAGAGAAACATCGACCAGCTGCCTCTTGCACACCCCTACCGAGGATGTGCCCGTAACCAACATACATGCCCTTGACCGGAATCGAACCTGGGACCTTTCAGTCCGCAGACCGATGCTCTACCACTGAGCCAAACCGGTTTCGGCTGGTTTATTATTAATAAGGAGGGAATATGCTAATTGAATGCCCACCTCAAAGATGGTGGGCATTCAGTTAGCATATTCCCTCCTTATTGGCTGTGGGCGCCACCATCTTTGGGACAGCATGGGGGTCAATTAGTATATTCCCTCTTTATTAGATAAGGTATATGCCAAAATAGGTATAACTTTGATTCATTCACATCAGATGGCTATTGCTGTGTTGCTGTTGTCATTTTTTTATTTGACAATCTAAGGAAAAAGAGGTCAATGCCCCTGACTGGATAGTCAGGTACTGCGTGTTTTAAAAATACTTGCAGTACAGCAGTGTGCGTGCGGGGGGCACCCCATTGGAAATGGCTGCCCTGGGTGTCAGGGAAGCATTGCTGTTGTGTCCCTGGCCCTCCTGGTGCCACCTGCGAGCACCCACACCTGCACTTTCCTGGAGGTCCGTCTGCCTGCCTGTCTCGGGGAGTCCACTGCTGGACCCCCCTCTCAATGGGAGTCCGGGTCCAAGCCTGTGAGGCTCTCCCCAGCACCGACCCAAAGCCCCAAGTAGGATGTGTCCTGCGGGCCAGGAGGCGATTGGGAGAGTGGAGGGCAGAGATCCTTCAGCTCCCCAACAGCTCCTCCCTCAGAGCCTGGAAGGGGTAGGGGTGGGGTAAGTTGGCGGCAGCAGGCTGGGCTGGGCTGGGCTGGGCTGCGCTGACCCCTCCCCAGCGGGGGCGGGACCCCAGGAGCAGCGAGGGAGCCAAACCCCAAAGAGGACCAGACACCGAAGAGGCGAGATGGCGGGAACCGGCCTGGGGTCCCGCTTATACAAGCAGATCAAGAGGCACCCCGCGGTGAGTTCGGTCCGAGCTCCCAGTACCGTCTTGCCTACCCGCCCCCCGCCCCGTGCTCTAACCTTTTCCAGGGGGTCCTCAACTCTCTCTGCAATGTGCCCCCTGGCAGAGGCCCGCTGTGCGGTGAGGGAGAGGGGCCGGAGCTGTGGTGCAGGCGCGGGTGGGGGTCGCCCGGCAGGAGAGCGTGTGAGGGCGCCGGGGAGCTGGGGGGTGGGGGTCGCCCGGAGAGGGGACTGACTGGCTGTGTCCTCGGTCTCCCCAGCTCATCCCCATGATCGGCTTCATCGGCCTGGGCATGGGCAGCGCTGCGCTCTACCTGCTGCGGCTCGCCCTGCGGAGCCCCGACGTCTGGTAAAGGCCGGGCTGGGGTCCTGGATGGGGCACCATGGGGCCGGGAAGGGCGCCTCTCAGGGACGGTGGGAATGGGGGGGGGGGGCTGGCAGGGATCCCCCTGCGGCGCCCCTGCCCCTGCCCCTGCCCCACCCCCAGCATCCCCGGCTGGAGCCCCTCTCCTCCTGGGCCCACCCAACCGCACGCTCCTCTGGCTCCAGCCGTGCCCCGGCTGCCATGGCAACGCCGTTCTGCCGCCGCAGGCAGCCTATGGGTACCTCCACATCCCTGCGGGCCAGGACGTGGCCAGGCAGCCCACGTCTGGGGGTGCGGCAGGGGTGATATGAGACTCCACTGCCCCCCCCCCCGAGGCAGTGAGGGTGGGGTCAGCCCCATGTTGTCAGAATTGGGACACATCACAGAAGCCCCAGCCAGCTCCTCTCTGCTCTGCCGGGCTGACCCCGGGGGGCAAGGTGCAGTGGGGAGCCCCTGGGTGGGGTTGTCAGTCCCTCCTGTGGTCTCGCTCTGACAATGGTGACAGCCTTCTGCCAATGTCCCCCCTCCCCGGCAGTTTTGGGAAATGCCCCCCCCCCCCAGGGTAGGGCCGGGTGGTGGGGCAGAGGGAGAGATGCTGGGGTAACATCAGGATCTAGAGTCCTAGTTCCCACAGAGAAACCCCAACCACCCCCCCCCCCACCCCCACAGCTGGGACCGAAAGAACAACCCGGAGCCCTGGAACCGCCTGAGCCCCAACGACCAGTACAAGGTACCTTCCGGTGACCCTGGGGTCACACCTCTATCCTCATACCCTGGTCTCTGGGACCCTGGCGCCTCCCCGCTAAAGGGAGGCCTGGGCACTCAGTGCACCCCCACCCTTCCACAGTTCCTTGCAGTTTCCACGGATTATAAGAAGCTGAAGAAGGACCGGCCAGACTTCTGAGCCTGGCTGGGATGGTGGATACCGACGTCAGCCAGCCTCCTCCTCCCTGCCTCAGCCCCCAGCCTCCAGGGCGCCACCGTCGCTCCCCCGTCCGGCTCCTGAGCACACAGGCCTGGTTCCCACGCCTGAGGGAGGCGGCCCCGCCCCCACCCTCTCCCCTGTCCCCGCAGCGGAAGCACCCCTGACCCTCAGCTCCAGTCCCACGCAGGGGGGTGGGGTGGAGTCAGGAGGTGGGGCCCCAGTGTGTTGACTCAAATGGCCCGAGGGGTCCCCTCTGCAGGGCTACAGGGGCCTCGGAGGGCGTGGCCAGGGCAGGCTACGTGAGGAGCGTGGCAGTCGTGAGCCAAGAGCAAGCAGGGGCCTCGCGTGCCAGGCGACGTGGCAGGCCCCGCGTCAGCCAGGGCTCATTGCCTGCGGCCCAGCCTGCTCCGGAGGAGGCACCGCTGAGCCCGGGGAGGGGCGGCGCGCTGCTTCCTGCGGCTCAGGAGCCAACCCGCACCCCCTCCGGCCTCGCACCTGGGCCTCCCCCTGCTGTCCGCCCCTCCCGGCTCCCCTCTGTCCCTGGGGATCAAACAGAAGCAGCCATGGGCAAAATACAATTTCATTTAACAAATTGAATTTGCTGCGCCTGCTAATCACGTCTGGTGTCGGCTCTGATCAGAGACAGAGAGAGGAGGCTGCAGCCCCGGGGGGCCTCGTGGTGGCTGTGGGAGGGGATCCAGGAACAACACAGGGAGGGAGACAAATCACCGCCTGGCCCAGGGGACGGCTCCCGCAGTAATAGGCGCTCGGGTCAGGCTAGCATTTTATTAGATAAAAACAGAAAGGGGGGCGTCTACCCACCCCTTCCTCTGGCTCACGAGGGTGACCCCCTGTCCCCGAGAAAGAACGGGGAGGCCGGGGAGGCCGTAACACTGAGATGAGGGGAGCCCGCAGGGCAGAGAGCCCTCCGGCCTCCTCCTAAGTTTTTTTACAAAAAGGAATGTCCGCTACAAATGCTGCGAAGGGAACTGCATTTGGCTCTTCCCCCAAGTGAGAGGCCTTCTCTCCACCGGCAAAAAGCTGGGAGAGGGCTGACCCCTCCGCTGGTGCAGGTGAGGGAAGGAGAATGATTTCAGTCTCTGAGCCTCATCGCCTCGGTGCCTTCAGTGCTCATCGAAGCCGGGCATGGGGAAAGCCCGGGCAAACTGCTCCACCCGCTGCCTGAGGTCATCCAGCCGTTGCCTAGTTTCTGGGTCACTGAGCAGGAAGGATTTGAAGTCCTGCAGTTTGGCTGGAGAGGGGTGAGGAGAGGTGGTCAGAGCCTTGGGGAAGGCGTGAGATCACGGGGAGGGCTGGCCGGGGCCGGGGTGGGGTCAGCCTACTCACTGGTCTTGCTCTTCACATCCAAGCCAACCTTGACCCCTTCATCTATAAACGCCACAACCCTCCGGAAGTCATCCTCTCGAAACTGCCGAGAGGTCAAGGCCGGTGCCCCTGGAAGAGGCAGAAGAGGACTAGCATGGCCATCCGCCCCCTCGCAGCCACCCTCCCCCCCTGGGCCCTCACTCAGGACTCACCGAGCCGGAGGCCCCCGGGCGTGATGGCACTCCGGTCCCCAGGACAGGTGTTCTTGTTGGCTGTGATGGACACGAGCTCCAGCACCCGCTCCGCCCGCGCCCCATCCAGGCCCTTGGGCCGCAGGTCCACCAGCACCAGGTGGTTGTCGGTGCCACCTGAGGGGGAAGCGTAGACGGAGAATGGTGAGTCCCGGGCCTTTGCCTGAGGCCACAGAGGCTCTCACCCACCCTCCTGGCTCACCGGACACCAGCGAATAGCCTCGCTCTAGCAGGGCGTCCGCCATGGCCCGAGCATTCTTCAGAACCTGCAGGGAGTACTCCCGGAACATGGGGCTGCAGGCCTGGAGACGAGACAGCAGCACCTGGGACCCCGAGTCCTGCCCCTCCCGCCCCTCTGCCCCCAGCACAGCTGTCACTGGTCTTGAGGCCTCCCCTCCGGGCCCCTCCCCTCCAGCAGCCCCGCTTCAGTTAGCAAGAAGCAGGGTCTGAGCATCCCGATGCCCACCACCCTCCAATGACAGGCCCCCCAACCTGCTTCAGGGCCACGGCCACGGCAGCAATGGCATGGTTGTGGGGGCCCCCCTGCAGGGACGGGAACACAGCAAAGTTGATCCGGTCCTCAAACTTATAAGGGATCTCCCGGCCAGTCTTGGGGTCCACAGACTGCACCCCCTTCCGGTAGAAGATGAGTCCTGACCTGTGTGGGAAGAGAGTGGTCAGAATCTAAGCTGGAAAAAAAGAGCGAGGGATGGGGAGAGCAGAGGAAGCCGGCAGGCCCGCACCCCCGAGGGCTCTCGGCCGCCTCAGTTGTGCTGGGAGTGCTTGGCGACAGGGGTTGAGGGGGAACAGAACCTTCCTCCCACCTCCTCCCACCCCCAAACTCCCTGCCAGGGAACTGCCACACGGGCGAGAAAAGGAGAACCCTCAGACTGGGCAGAACTCTCTGGGCAGAAGGAGTTCCTCTCCGATCCACAGCAATGCCCCGGGAATACGGCACGAAGGCCAGGAAAGGCAGGGCCTGACCTCGGGGAGCCTGACCTGGCCCCTCGAAGGGTCTTGTGAGTGGTCGTGGTGACGACATCCGCATGCTCGAAAGGTGAGGGGATCACCTTGGCGGCCACCAGGCCACTGATGTGGGCCATGTCTGCCATCAGGTGCGCCTTGACCTCATCACACACCTGGGCACGAAGAGAAACAGGCCTCAGTCTCGGGAGGGTCAGACAGGCCTGCCCACGCCTGCCCCTCCTCCAGAACCTGCCCAGCACCCCCTGGGCAGCGGCAGGTGCCCCAGCCCTCCACCAACCTCCCGCATGCGGGCGTAGTCAATGAGGCGGGCATAGGCACTGGTACCAGCAATGATGAGCCGGGGCCGGAAGAGTCGAGCAGTGACTGCCAGCTGGTCGTAGTCAATGAGGCCGGTTTGGGGCTGGACAGAGAGACGAGAAGCTGATGTCCTTCAGAAGCAGCCGTGCAGCTCGCGTTCCTCCCTGACCTTAGAGGCTGCTCAGGGCTCCAGCCTCTCGCTTTCCCAGGAGAGGCTCCTGGGCCTCGAGCAGCGTCCTCCCCAGACCTCAGAGCACTCACTCACATTCAGCTTATAGGGCATGGACTCAAAGAAGATGGATGTGGCTGAGATCCGCTTGACATCAGACATGTAGCCGTGGGTGAGACTGGGCGGGGAGGAGAGGAAGTGAGAAGGCTTCTAAGCGGAAGGAGACCCATTCCTTTCCTGCCCTGCTCCATAGGCCTGTCTCTGGAACACCGCTCCTGGCATGCACCACCCTCACTGCTCTGCCCACTCTGTGCTGGGCACTGGTTACTGGGGCCTTAGCATCCTCCCGCTCTGTACCCTGAAGGACAGGGAGAGGCCTGTCCATCTGCAATGAATAACCCCTCTCTCATCGCCATATGGCCCAGGCAGCCCGTCTGCCACCCGCCCCACCCGTACTCACTGGCCACCGTCCGGCAGGTCCAGCCCCATGATCCGGTCGTGAGGTTGCAGAAGGGCTGTGTAGACAGCCAGATTGGCTGGGGACCCCGAATAAGGTTGGACATTGACTCCCCACTTTGCAGGATCCAGGTCAAAGGCCTCCAAGGCCCGGCGCTGACACAGCAGCTCGATTTCATCCACTATCTGTGCTCCCCCATAGTATCTGCCATGGGAGGGGGGCATGTCAGGGCAGAGAGAAAGGGTTCCTCCATCCCCCTCAAAGTAGCAAAGGAGCGGGAAGGCTGCTCCTCTAGACGCACCGGGAGGGTGCAGGCAGGCGTCCCCCACCGGGAGCACCATCCCGGAGGCTGCCCTCCAGCCCTCTGGTGTCCAGCCCTCACCTCTTGCCAGGATAACCCTCCGAGTACTTGTTGTTCAGACAGGACCCCAGGGCTTCCAGCGCAGCTCGGCTGCAGAAGTTCTGGGGTGAGGGGTGGGGGCCATGTCAGAAGGTAGAGCCCTTTTGAGAGACTCCCACAGCCCACCCTGCCAGAGGCCAGGCTGCACGGAGCTGAGCTCTACAGAAAGCTCTGTTCATTCAGGGCTCCTTGTCAGGCTTGGGCACGGCCAAGGGCAGCATCCTCAGAAACCTGGCTGCCATGATAGGTGTCCCCATGCCCCCATCCCATAACCCAGACTGCCCCTGCCTCTGCTTCAGAGGACAGTAAGAAGAGAAAGAGATAAGGCCCAGCAGGAAGGCCCTGAGTCTGAAAGGGAGATCCGGAGAAATGGCAGTAAGATGACCTGTGACTTCCCGTACCCACGGTGGCCCACGCCTTAGCCCTCTCCCCAGACCCCACCTCTGAGGCAATGAGCTCCAGGCCACGACACTGCCTGTCCTTCTCCCTCTGCAGCAGCTCCCACATCTCAGGGTCACTGTCTGACAGACTGTCCTGGCCTGTCCAGCCCCTGCTTGCTTCTCCAGTCTGGGTCTGGGCTGCTTCACTGTGCCGGCACCGCATGGCCATGCTGGCCAGCTGACCGTGTCTCCACAGAGGCTAAGGGAGGAAAAGCCAGGGTTAAAGAAAAGGGTTCAGTCTCCCAACCACCACCAGCCACGCCTATTAGGCCCTCAGGCTCCGAACCCAACAGCCAGCTGTCCAGCCGGCCTGTTCCAGTTTTCACCACCCCCACCTCCAAAAGCCAGTTCTAGAGCCAAGGCTGAGATCAATGTCCAGGGGGTGGTTCTGATTCCATCCATTCACCTCACCTCAGAATCTTCCTCCGCTAGACCCATGAACCTCTGCAAAGCCAGAGGACAAAGTTTGTGTTCTAGAAGCTAGAGGTTCCAGAACATCTCTACTCGCTGGAACTAAAGGGTCTTCCCTGTAGGGGCTCCATAAAGTGACATTCGGGGGAGGGGGGTGTGGAGAGAGAGACCAAGTTGCAAGGGGTTAAGAGAACAGGATCTGCATAGTTTGAGGTGTTTTTCAGAACATTGGAGGTAGCCATCTAATGTTCTGAAAACCAAGGTAGATTTTTAGCGGTCCCAGGGGGAGTGGTGGGAGTGGGGGTGGGGGTTGGGGGGCTGATGGCAGGGAAGCCAAAAACCACACTCAGTCCTCGGCCGGGCTCCTCTCCACCGCCCTCCAGCCCGCAGAGCCGCGGGACCCCTGATGCAAGCAGGAGGGCTCGGTTGCGTCATCGGCACAGCTCGGAGCTTCCAGGGAGACAGCTGGCTTGTCCAGACTGGGAATCCCGCTGTTTGCCGGCACAGGAGCCGTGGGCAACTGTTACCGTTCCCTCCCCAAATGCCACGTAAAACAGATGGTCACATGGCCTGGGGCTTCTGATTACCGAGTGAAGAGCCCCCCTCTCCCCCGTATACCCCGCGTGCACCCCAGGGTGTCGGTGATTCCCAACTTGCGTGTCCGCTCCCAGAAGACCCAGACCATGTGCGTGGAAAAGCCAGGAGAACCCCATAGTTTGTGAATGGATATTACGGTAGGAGGGGAACTTGCTTTTAATCACCCAGACTCCCGAGCCCCATTCTTACCCGAGTGGCCCAGAGCAAAGAGAAAGACAGCATCGCAACCCGAAGTCGCCGGAGGTCAAGACACCGACTCTAGCGCGGAGAAGCAAGGGGTCCGAAAAGACTGACCCGAGAGCGCATGCGTGAGAACAGCGGTCCTAGAAGCCACAGGATTGAAGGTAGAGGCCTACGCATGCGTGAGGCGACTTTAAGGTCTTCTGGGAATTGTAGTTTTCCCACCTTTCTTCCGCTTCATTTCCGTCTGAAGCCCCAGGGTCATAGACTCTGGTCTGAAAGAAAAGAGATCTACTGCCGCCCCCTCCCTCTCACCGTCCTAGATATCTTTGGGTGTTCCCCTCCACCCCCCTCCACCCCCGCCCTGTTGTCCAGACAACAATCATTTATTGGATACCTCCTGAATACCTAGTATTATTAGGCTCCCTGGGAAATACAAAGACTCCTTTACAAGCTAGAGCAGCGTTTTTCAACCGCTGTTCCGCGACACACTTGCCTGGTGTGCCGTAGGTGCAGACAAGACAAGAATTTTATAATTTTTCACTATTTTGTTTACTTAATATTTCATAATAAAGTAATTATAAAATACTTTCTTTGTGTTTATTTGATTCCTATTCAAGAGAATTACTTTATATATAGTCAATATAGGCACAGAGTTAATTTTTTTTTTAACATTTTCTAATGGTGGTGTGCCTCGTGATTTTTTTCATGAAACAAGTGTGCCTTTGCCCAAAAAAGGTTGAAAAACACTGAGCTAGAGAGCCATGGTGCACTGGAAGTCACCTGGTTTGGAAGGGTGAGAGAGGCAAATTCAAGTTCCAGCTCTGGGACTTACTAGCAAATTAGCCTCTCTGGCCTCAGTTTCCTCACTTGCAAACCAATAATAAAATAACATGTGGAGGGGACATGCTCTGGAATGGATTGTCCTCCCTTCCTCCTCTGACTTACTAGCCTGCCTTCCCCTCGGCCATCTCCTCCTTCTTCAGAGTGAGACGCCCCTTCCGGTCCTTGTACCTGTTGGAATTTGTTTACTGTTCACCTCTTGCCTTCCAGGCAGTCAGTGAGCTCTCTTTGTTTCCCTGGGGCTATAGATACTTGGAACTGGAAGAGATCTTCCTTTTAGCCTGAGTTCCTCTGACCTCATCCTTTGGGGGCAGGACTCATTGACTTTGCCAGGAGTAGGTTCCCAAACCTGGGCATCGGAATTAGCTGGGAAATCGGATATAAATATGAATGTGGCGCCTTTCCTCAGAGGATCAATGGATCTTAAAGAATAGTGGGCATTTGCCCACTCATGCTGACACGCAATGAAACCTCGCCTCATGATTCTAATAAGCAGTGATTTTGAGAACCATTGCCTCACATGGCAATATTACACGTTCATTCATTCAACATACATATTGAGCTTCTACTCTGTGCCAGGCATGCCATAGCCCTGGAGGTTCAAGAATAGATTACTAACTGCTGGGACATCAAGAAGTGAAAAAAAAAAAAAAAAAATGCAACAAGTGCAATTCCAGGCATGGGCACCTCACTCTGTGCCCACAAGTCCAGATGTCTGAAAAAAAGAGTGGGAGGAGGAGGAGAGGATGACCTTGCCAGAGAGGGGAGGACAATCCATCACAAAGCAACTTCATATGCAAAATCACATATTATTTTATGATTGCTTTACAAATGAGGAAACTAAGGCCCAGCTGGGTTAACTTGCTAATTCCAACCATTTTCACTAGATCCTCATACCAGGCCTCATATCCTTAGCTCTATTTTAGATTCTCATATCCTTAGCTCTACCTCATTCCCTCCCACTCCTGCTCCAAGTGTTCTCATGTCTTCCCAGCAATAGGCCTGTGACAGGAGTCCACTGAGTTCTATTTCCTCCAGTCCCTGACCCAGAACCACTTCCCACCTCTCTCCTCCTTTCGGCACCTACCCGTCCATCCATCCATCCATCCATCCAACCATCCATCCATCCGATGGTTATTTCCCCCTTACCGATTTTTCACTCCCGGGAATGTCTGGGTCACACTCGCCTTTGACTCAGTTTCCCGCTGGAGCCAGTGGGCAATCCCCTGGGGAACCCTGGACCCAGGACTAAAAGCAAAGGAAGGCTGAAGAGAAGGCACCTTCTGTGCCACAGCTTGTCTCTACCCCCTCCCAGCCCCCTTCTGGGGTCCCCGGGGGAGGGGGTGATGGCTGAGCCTGAGAACTGCTAATGAAGCCGCAGCCAATTAACGCTCAGGCCAGGGTAGGGGGCGGATAAAATTAGCAGCCGCGGCTGCGAGCGGGAGCTGAAGGCTAGAGCTGGAGGCGGGGGCGGGGAAGGTGGGCAGCTGGCTGAAGGGGGCCTTGTTTGCTGGCGGCTTACAGAGGCAACGCAGCCTCACTCTCCGGACTCTCCTGTCCCTTCCCCCACCCCCTCGTCTCAGGCTCAGGCTTCACTCCCTCTCTCCCTCGTCCGTCTGCAAACTCAGCGCCCACGAAATTAGGAAGGAAAAGGAAGATCGATGACTCCAGATGCCGCAAACACCGTTCCCCTTCCCCCCACCTGCCACCTCCCGCCAGCCCCACGGAGCTTAGCAGGTTGTCAGCGCTCTGCTTACGAAGTCCCAGTATCTCCTTGACTGCTCTGCCCACCTCTGGGAGGAAAATCCCCACCTCTAGCAGGGCTCCGACACCAAGGGTCGTCCTCATATCTGTGTGATGTGGTTTTGGATGACCTCCAAGGTGCTAGCTCCATCAGCATTTGCCTCAGTTTCCCAGTTTCTACGGGGTGGAGGGGGACAGGGACAGGCCCCGCCTTTGCCACACATTGAAATCCACACACATACCCCTTCCCCACAAAGGTCTCACAGAAACCCGTATTGGATTTCACTTTATTTTGTTTTGGAGTAGAAAAAATATCACTGAGAGGAAGCAGCCGGAAAGGGGCAGGTGGGGCAGGACTGCAGGGACCGGAGGGAGGCGGGCAGAGGGCAGGGGCCAGAGTCTTCCCCTAGGCCCAGGCGTTGGCCTCCACTCCCCTAATTGGGATGCTGGAGAGAGAGGAACAGGCGCAGGGCAGGCCAGCGGGGCGGGGCCTCGGCTTACACACGAACGTCTTCACAGTCTTTTACTGGGGCGGGGCAGGGGGGGGCAGAAGAACAAGAGCCTGGGGGTGAGGAAGTCAGGGTGGAATGAGGGTACTAGGCTGGCGTGATGACCGCTGAGGGCGAAGGGCGTGTCCAGCCCGGGGGCCCAATTCGGACACAGGGGACGCTGGGACCGCCTTTCCTGGGGCTGCGCTCTGTTTCCTTCACTTTGGGGTGTAGCTGAGGGGGCCTCAAAGGCACTCCCCATAAGGAAGAGGGGACCCACGCCAGCAAACAGCCCCCAGAACGGAAGGGTGAACGGAGGGCCACAGGAGTTGCGGGTCCCTGGGGGGAGTCTCACTTCGGGGAGGCTGGGATTTGGCGGGAAGCTCGGGGCTGGGGCTGGGGCTGGGGCGAGGGCGGGGGCGCCCTAGCCAAAGTAGGGGTTCTCGCTCTGGAAGTTGTAGTCCGGGCACACCTTCTGCACCAGTTTATAGTCAAAGCTGAGGAAGGAGACGAAGATGCAGATGACCTTGAAGGGCTTGGCGCACAGCCAGGCGGCGTGGCTCTGCGTGTGCTCGGTGAAGCACACCTGCGAGGGGTCGTACAGGCACGGGCGGTGCTTGCGCGCGCGGTCGGTCTTCTCATACTCCACGTGGCAGTTGAACGCGCGCGACTCCTTGGCCCCCGGCACGCCCAGCGCTCCCCCGAGGGGCCCCGCCAGGGCGCCCCCTAGGCTGCCTCCCAGCCCCGCCCCCGCAGCCGCCGCCGCCAGCCCCAAAGCGGGGGGCCCCAGCCCGGGGAGCACCCCCTCCAAGGCCAGCGTGGACTGCAGCGGGTGGGGGGCGGGCCCGGGCAGCCAGACGCCCCCGAACTCGACGCGCTTGGAGGGCGGCACGATGCTGACGCTGAGGTTGCCCAGGCTGGACGAGTTGTGGCGGAAGTACACGCTGAAGGTGCCGTTCACGTGGTCCACGATCTTGCCCGTCACCAGCAGCGAGAACTTGAGGGTGTGCACCCGGAAGTAGAAGTCCCCCCAGCCGAAGATCTTCTTGGCGCGGGCCGCCTTGAGGGACGGCTTCCTCTTGGGGCGCTGCGCCGGGAGCGCCCCCGCCGCGCCCGCGGCCCCCGCCCGGGCCAGCGCCCCGGTGTGGTTAGCGGCCCAGGCCCAGCTCCAGGCGCGCGCGGCGCCCAGGCCGTCGGGGGACTTGGGCGCCTGGAGCTGCTGGGCCGGGGCGCCCCCTCCGGCCGCTGCGGGGCGCAGCTCCATGTACTGCGGCCTCCCGGACTCCGGCAGCTGGGCACGGACGGTCTGTAGACCAAAGAAAAAAAAAGAGGAAGAAAAAGAGATGCTGGGCTGAAAACGGTTTGGCTCAGTGGATAGAGCGTCTGTCTGCGGACTGAAGGGTCCCGGGTTTGATTCCCGTCAAGGGCATGTACCTTGGTTGCAGGCATATCCCCGGCGAGGGGTGTGCAGGAGACAGCTGGTGGATGTTTCTCTCTCATTGAGGTTTCTAGCTCTCTATCCCTCTCCCTTCCTCTCTGTGAAAAATCAATAAAATATATTTAAAAGAGAGGAGAGAGAGAGATACTGGAGTTGTCCCTGGCCACCCAGCCGGGGCCTTCCCCATGCCAGCCCCTGTCCAAAGCCACTACTAGGAGGCCACATGGAGCCCAGCGGCCGCGAGAGTGGTCATGGCGGGTGGTGGGAGCAGAGCCGCAGCTCTGTCAAGCTGTGTGGTCTTGGCCAAAGCACCTCACCTATCCAGGCCTCAGTTTCTGCACCTGAGATGAGACTGCCAGTCCTTGTGTTCTTCCAGATCTGCCATGCGGCTGAAAAAGCCCACACCAGGGAGGGTTTGCAGATGGGGACAGGGACAGGGAGCCTGGCTGGTTCCCAGCAGCGATGTTCAACCTCATGGCGCCCATAAACTAATGACTGAAATTCCGCAGCACACCAAAAATATTATTTTGGCCAATCTGACAAAAAAAAAAATAGGTATATTTTTTATTCATCCATACCGGATAGCTATTGTTGTGATGGCCATTGTCATTTTTGTAACTTGACCATCTAAGGGAAAAGAGAGGAGGTCAAAGCCCCTGACTGAACAGTCAAGTATTGCATGTTTTAAAAATTCTCGCGGCACACTAGAGAGCAGCGGCACATTGGCTGAAAATCGCTAGCTCAGAGCAATGAGCCAGGGAGGAGCTGGACTCAGGCAAGTGAGGCCATGACTATTGTCAACATCCAGCATCAAGGAAAAGGTGAAGCCCAAGCGGATTTTGGCTCTGGATAGATCAGCGGCAGGCGGCCTGCGGACTGAAGGGTCCCTGGGTATGATTCCAATCAAGGGCATATGCCTGGTTGCAGCTCCATCTCCAATGGGCGGCGGAGGCGGGAGGGGCGGGCTTGGGGGAGGGAAGGCGTGCAGGAGGCAGCCAGTCAATGATTCTCTCTCATCATTGATGTTTCTATCTCTCTCCTTCCTCTCTGAAATCAATAAAAATATACATATTAAAAAAATAAAGAGGCGAAGCCCTCCAGATGCCTCTGTGGAGACCAGAGCCCCACCCCGGCCTCATCCTCTACTCCGTGGTGGGGAGGAGCATGGGAAACCAGCAGAGCTAGGGAGAGCAGTGGACAGTCAGTAGGCTTGTGGGTGCTTCTCCCCGCGTCCAGCGCGCTGCTCAGTGGAGGAGGCCGACTGGTGGTGCTTCCCAGGCTGGGGACTCGGGGGCTCGGCCCGGATGGAGCGGCAGGAGGAGCCGCCTTGGCCCGCCCCCGCCCGTCTCCTTGTGTCTCAGGTGGCAGCGATCTGGGAGACAGCGAGGGCTGAGTACAAGATAGATCGAGAGGCGGGAGCGGTGGGGCCAGGCCTGGGCCATCAATTATCTGGTGGGGGGGGCAGGGGTGGCCAGGAGCGAAGGAGACAGGCGGTCAGAGCGAGAGGAAGAAATATGGAGATGCCGCTCCAGCGGCGAGTGGGAGGGAGAGGAGCTGTACATGTCAGAGTGTGTCAGTCAGACCGTGCTAGCTGTGGCTGGTAGGGTGGCCCTTACTGGTGTGGGTTCAGACTGGGGAGGGAGCACTGCATGTGTCAGTCTGGTGTGGTTGTGTTTCTGTTAGCCTAGGATGGTTGTACTGCGTGCCTGTCTACCTGGAGTGATGCCTGTGCCTGTGTGTGTGTGTGTGTGTGTGTGTGTAGCTATGGTGATGGATGTGTGTCTGCCTAGGGTGGATGTGCATGGTGGTTATGTGTGTGCCCTGGTGACTGTATGTGAGTGTGTGTGTCTGCCTGCGTGTGGTGGCTGAATGTTTGCTGCGTCAGTCTGTGGCAGCTTGTATGTGTGCCTGGGCTGTAAGTGTGCTTGGGCTGTATGTGTGCTTGGGATGTATGTGTGGGTTGTATGTGTACCTGGTTGGCTGTGTGTATTAATCTGAGCCAGGCTGAGGCTGTGTATGGCCTTGTGGTAGGTGCATCTGTGTGACTGGGCTGGCTATGTGTGATCTCGGGGCACACTTGTCCTGTGTGAGTTCCTCTCATCCTGTGTCCAGTGTCCAGCTCCCCTAGAGCGTGTGTGTCAGTGCATCCACAACGACAGACCAAGTGCTCTCGCCGATTCTCCGGGGCGCATGTGTGAGTTGTATGGTAGTGGCCCCTGCTGGCTGGGCTGGGGTAGGTAGAGACCTGACGGCATGGTGTCTCCTGTGTTTGTACACACCCCTGTGTATACGCCAGGTGTCCACAGGGAGCGGACCCGCAGAGCCAGGCAGCTGGGCTACAATCTCCCCGCCGGTCCCCATCCCCGCAGCGCTGCGATCCTGGGTTATTAATGCGGCAGCCGCCACCCGACCGTCATACATATTTATCGCCCCCCAATCCTCCTCCCGCCACACCGCCTCCCAGCGCAGGTGAGGGGTGCGGGCGGGCGCAACAGTGATTGACTCAGACAGTCGCGCCTGAGCTGGCAGCTAACGCCCCAGGCTGGGCCTGGGAAGGGCTGGGGGAAAGGGGCCTGGGCCAGGGCAGGAGGGGGAAGGACCTCCCAGGAAGTGGGCTTGGAGAGAGGAGAATGGAGCCCGGGCATGGGCACGCAGACGGGTGTGTGAAGGGAGCGATGAGGCAGTGGAAGGTGGGGAGGGGGCCCTTTGAACTCTGACACCTGATCTTCTCACCTCTCTGGGCCCAACCACTGCTTTTTTCTGGGGACTCCCATCAGTCCCTGAAGCCTGCTCCAGCAAACCCCAAATGTCTGAGTCACCCCTGCCCCCCCACCCCAGCAGCACCCAGTGTCCTGCACCCCACTCAGGTCCATCCAGCACTCCTCCCCGGCAGGGGCTGGGACAGGGTGGCGGGTTCGACTGGGTGGTGGGGGGTGCCGGCTCCCCCCCAATCCCAGACAAATTGACATTGACATTGACGTCTGTGCTTCTCTGATCCCCAGGCTTTGGGCACCGGCACCCGCCGGCCATAGCGGGCAGCCGGATGAAGGGAAGAGCTGGCGGGAGGGGCTTGGGCAGGGAAGAGCGAGGGTCTGTGAGGAAACGAGCCGAGAAATGGGAACACGGAGTAAAATAAAATAAAATCCTCCCTCCGGCTGCCTTGCTCGCCTGCTCCCGCTCCCTCTCCCTCTCTCGCTCTCCCTCTTTCACTGTTTTTCCATCCCCCCACCCTCCACTCTCAGTCTCCTTTTTTTGCCTCTCCGTCTCTTCCTCACTGTTTCTAATTTTCCTTTTATGATTCTATTTTCCTCCCTGTTTATGTCTCGGTAGTTCTTTCCCTCTATCCTTCAGGTTGTCTTTCTCCAGCTGTGTGTGTGTGGGGGGGGGGGGAGTGGGAGGGAGGGGAAAGCAGGGTGACAAGGAAGCCCCTCTTTGTCCAGAGCCCATGGTGCCCTCCTCTCTCTCACAGGACTAAGAGGAGAGCAGGGTGCTGCCCGCCAGGTCCCCTCAGTCCGGGCCGGTTTAATTAAGCTAATTAAACGCGATGACATTTGCGGAGGGGAGGCGGCGGCGGGCGGGCGAGGGTGCGCGGAGATGCTCGGCGGCAGACAGGGATGTGGGGGTGATGGGGTGCGCTTCGCCAGGTGCCTCCAGGCCCAGGCCGGGTGGGAGTCGAGCCAGGAGCGCTTTGTCCCCAGGCAGCGAGCCCACGCACTGGAGGGGAGTTGAGGCTGCCTCTTGCCGCTTAACAAACTCCATGGGGGGGGGGGGGTGCTGTTTTGGGGCGGGAGCGCTGGGAACAGGGGGAGGAGGAGACTGTGGGCCCCCAGCCGCATTGCAGGGTGCGCCTCCCTGGGGCCTCCCGCCTGGTCCCTGGCTCCTCTCCGGCTCCGGGGGTCAGGCGGGGCCGCTGAGGGTTCCCGTGGGGGTGGGATGGCGCCCGGGGCCGAGGCAGGACAGCTCTGGCCTGGCGGGAAGGAGAGGGGAGGGTGTCCGGAGACCTTGCACCTAGAACTCCGCCGGGCACTGCAGTCAGGGCGGGCGAGCAGCTGGGAGCTGGCTGGGGCTCAGGGGTGGAGACAGGAGTGAAGACAGAAGTGGGGAGGACAGGACGGGCTGCAAGAGGCACGGCCCAGAAATGGGGGGCCCTGGGCGTGTGCACCCAGAAGGTCAAGCACTGGGTATAGCAATGAGGAAGGAACAGGAGTAGGATCAGGGGTGAAGGTGGGAACCCGGAGGAAGAGGAGTTCAGACATGGTGGATGGGCATTGGGCAGGGGTGCTGAGAGGGGGGGGGAGCAGGGGAAGGGGATGGGAACCAAAGTGAGGGTGGAGGCAGCGGTGGTGGATGAGGGATGGGCTTTGGGGAAGGGCAGCAGGGAGAAAGGGAGGGGGGTGAGGGCTGTAGGATGGGGAGGGTTGGCGGTGGGAAGGGAAATGGGGGATGGGGAATGGTTACTGGGCAGAAACAGAGGTTCAGAAACCTAGGGGTGGGGTGGGGGTGGGGTCTGGATGGAGACGGGACTGGGAAGCCAGGCCAGTGGGGAGTGGAGGCTAGGGAGGAGGCAGCTGAGGACAGGTGTGGGAGGCAGGCAGAGGGCGAGGTGGAAGCCGGGCTGGAGCAGGCTGTGGGAGGGCCAGGCAGGTGGAGGTGCAGATACCTCCCCCAGACAGCATTATAGTGTGTGTGGAGGGGACCAAGGGGGGACAGGCTCTGCCCTTGGGCCGGTGCCCCTCCCCCTCAGCCCCGCCTGCCCGCCTGCTCCCGGCCTGCAGCGCAAGGCTCACCGTTATCTGAATTTTGATTTTATTTTATTTTATTTCCCTGCTTCCCAGAGCCGGCGCGGTCCCCCCGGGAACGGCGCCCCCCGCCCCCCGCCCCGCGCCTCACTTTATTATTGCAATAAATGTGCCTATAAAGGCGCGGGCTCGGGGCGCTGCGTGGGGGGGCGGGAGCCGGAGCGGGGATGTAATTTCCCGGAGCCGGAGCCGGAGGGGGAGTGGGCGGGGTGGAGGGGGAGGAGGGGGAGGCGAGGGAGAGGGGAAGCTCGCCAATTTCCAGCGCTCCGGGCTGCGCTCTCTGCTCTCCAGCCTCCCTGAGGTCGCTCCCACCCCAAGTCCTGAAACTCCCCACTGCTCCCCAAAACGCTGGGGTCCTGGGACCCCTCCCACAGGACCCGCCGTCTCTCTATTATCTGCCCTGCCCCCCTCCTGGACCCCCAGCGTGGGGCGCTGCAAGGCTCTGTCCAAAGTCCCCATCTCCCGGTGGAGGACTGCATCCCTGACCCTGCGGTGCCCTCTCCGCCGGCCTGGTCTCTTTCAGTGCGGTCTCACCCTTTCCCTGCCACCCTCTCTTCTCTGACCCTGGGGGTCCTCCTTGCCTTGCTTCGGCCCTCCGCTACTCCACCTCTTCTCCCCTCACCCTGGCCTGGACCCCCACCTCCTCCCCTGCGCTCACCTGAGACCCTTTCCGGCGGGCACCCCTCCCACGCTCACGGCTTCGGCCAAGGGGAGCTGTCACAGCACCTCCCTCTCCGAGCCCCTGGCCCAGCTGCAGCCCTGATCACCCCCAGATCCCTGCCCACAGCGCTGGCCGCCTGGGCCGCACGTGCCTAAGTGGCCCAGCCAAGGATTAGCTGGGGGCTCGCGAGCTGGTGGGAGCGGGAGGGGCGGGCGAGACGGGTGGCCAGGCCAGCTGGCTAGGCGACTCGGGTCGGCTTAATCATCCCCCAGGCAGGACAGAGCTGGAAGGTCCCCCAAGGCCCCACCCCTGCCCTCCCCCAGCTAATTAGTAATTAGTGATTAGTGATTAGTAACTATTGATCTCCTGCTGCTTCTCCCAGTAGACAGATGCTTTGGCCAGGAGTGGGGAAGCCGGAGAGAGAGGGAGAGGAGGAGTTGGAGACCTGAGCCCAGGCCATATTAGAAAGATTCTGAAGGAGGCCTGGCCAGAGGGCAGGGCTCCAGGGTCAGCGGGAGCCGGGGTCCCAGGTCCGGAGAGGAGCGCAGAGGAAGGAGGAAGCTCCCGCAGGCAGGTGACCAGGGTGGGGAAGGCAGGCTTGTGAGCACGGACCATTAAGGTTTCCCGAAGAGCTGTCCTGTAAACTGTTCCCCCACCTCTAACCCAGTGTCAGCCCTGCCAGCCCGGCACCCACCGAGCCAGCCCTGCCTGCACACACACACACACACACACACACACACACACAAGCTACACTCAGATACAGGAACTCATCCTGAGGCTCACAGCCCAATGCCCACACTCAGAGCCACAAGCACGCAGACCCAAGACCCTGGACACGCACACAGACCACACAGAGGCTGCAGCCCACAACCCACCCTGGGTGCACATGTGTGCACAAGCCCTACTCACACGTGCACACAGATCAGCACTTGGACAGACACACAAACACTTTTCTACACACACTTCCCATGCACCGTTAGAAACAGCCTCACACCTACCGCCTGGGCGCACAGGTGACCCCTTCTCACACACAAATAAACCGGGCCAAATGGCAGGTACACACTTCCCGCTGGCCCCAATACAAAGACCCACGGCTGCAGCTCACACACCAGCCACGTCCCCGTTGCTCACATCCTCCTGCTTCCTCTCCCTCAACTCTCCGCCAGATGTTTCATTCCCCTTCAGGGGCAAAGAAAATTAAAGCAGATCTGTCCACGGGGGAGTCTGTGTGAGGGGGAGGAAGTTGAAAGGAGGAGCAGGGGTGCCATCCCCTCTCCTCTCCCCCAGGCAGGCACAAACAGTGGGTTCTGGGGCACAGCCCCCTGCAGTCCTTCCAGGAAAGAGCTGGGCAGCAGGGGCAGCAGCTTCAGTGGAGGGGGCTCCTCTGCCCGCCGCCTCCCAGCCCCTCAAGGTCACCAGGCTGGTTTGGGAGAACCGGAAAGCTCCATGACGGGTTCACTGGCAGCCCCTGCCCCACCGCCAGAGCAGCTGAGTGTGATCTGGCCAAGCAGGTGGGGGTTCAAGGGTTGGGGGCAGAACTACAATACATCCCTTCACACTCTTCAGGGGCTGGGAGCAGGGGTTTAGGGAGCCACCTGCTTGCCCCCAGAGCAGCTAGGTTATGGCCGGAGCGCAGGAGACAGAAGTGGGCAGGGGAGCTGACTGGAGGAGGCCGGAGCAGGGCCTAGGTCCCCCCTGGGGCACACAGCGGGGCGCAGATGGCCGGCTGTGAAGCAGGCACTTGCACTCACCCCTTCAAGCCAGCACCACGCACCACCCCAGCGTGCACACACACCCTGGTCCCCAGCCCTGGACGCCCCGCCTGGCTGCCCGGCACACATGTGCACGCGCTGCCCCGCTCTCCACGCCGCTGAAGCCTCCAAGTCAGGAGGAGGCAGGTCAAGTCGGGGCTCCCTCGCCCAGGAGCTGGAGAAAGGGGCATTTTTTTGGGGGGGGGGCATGCAGGGGATGGGAGGAGAGACTCCCCTTCCAGACAGCCCCTGCCCCCTGTCAGCCGGCGCCCCCGAGGGGTGTGTGTGTGCGGGTTGTGCAGGGAGGGGTGTCTCCGCGGGACACGGGCTGGGAGGCTGTAGCCAAGTCCGGCCGCTGCGGTGCGGTCGGTGCGCGCGCTGTGCCGGGCTGTGCGGGTTCGGACCCGGCGCCGCCTGGCGCGGTGACAGGCGCCGGGAGGGACGCGAAGGCGCGAGCGGCGCGGAGGGAGGACAGGAGGCGAGGCGGCGAGGCTGACACCCCGCCGGCGGTCTGCCTGTCTGTCTGTCTCGCACTCCCGCTCCGTCTGGCGCGCTCTCGGGTCGGGCTCCGTTCCCTGCCCGCGCCGCCCGATCCCAGGCGGGCCCCCACCCCGTCCGGCCCCGACCCCCAGCCAACTTGCCCCGGAGAGCGGGTCCGGGAAGGGGCGTCTGTCTGTCGGCATCCCCCCCGGCCGCGCAAAGTTGGGGCTCAGGCTGGGGCGGGGCGGGCCGGGGAGCCCCTCGCACTCCGGACCTTCGCGTCCCGGACCGGACCCCCACCCGCACCCGCACCCAGACCCGCACCCAGACCGGGACCCGCACCCGGACCCAGAACCGGTGCGCGGCGCAGCCCCGCCGCCGCCTTACCTTCTCCAGGAGCCACGGGCCAAGGAGCAGGAGGAGCCATTCCGGGAGCAGCCGCATCTTCCCGGGGCGGGCGGGTCCGGCGCGCGGGCGGCGGGGGGACCGGGTGGCCGGGGGGACGGTGCCGGGTGCGGAGCGGGGCCGGACTGAGCGCGGGGAGCGGGGGGCGGGGGGCGGGGCGGGGCGGGGAGAAAGTTGGGTCGGACTCGGCGGGCGGGGCGGGGCTCCGCGCCTCCAATCCGGGCGGCCCGCGCGCCCCCTCCCGCCGGCCGGGGGCACGGAAGGTGACTTTCACCCCGGCACGCCCGGCACGCCCCGGCGCAGGTGCGAGGCGAGGGCGGCGGCCGGCCCGGGACCGGGGCTGGGGCTGGCCTCGACCGGGAGGAGGGCAGCGCGAGGGGATCGAGCCCCCGAACGGCGTCCCCGAGGGGCCCAGCAGGACCCGAACCCCTCGGTGCTTGGGGCCAAGGTGGTCCCGGGGCGGGATCGCGGCCGGGGCGAGGTGAGCGGGCGGGGCCCCGGGCGGCCGCCGCCGCTGACGGGGATGGATGGGCGCCCGGCGGCTCATTCGGCCGGGAGATGAGAATCATTGATCACGGACGGAAACCCCATCACGTCTGTCAATAGGGCTGACGAACGGCGCCGCCGCCGGCCCCTCCCGCCCCGGGGCACCTCCGCGATCTGTGTTCCTTGGCTGGACCAGCCTTTCACCTTTGCCCTCACCCCGCCCCCCGTGCCCCAGTGCGCCTCGCGGGGGGGTGGCAGAAAGCCCCCTCAGCGCCGCCTGGCCTGGCCCATGGGTGCGATCTCTGTTCCCTCCCCTCTCACTATCCCATCTTTCACCATCAGCTCCTCCATCCCTGTCCCTTCCTCTGTCTCTGTCTCTGTCCTTGTCTCTGTCCCTATCCTCTTGGCTGTTTCTTCACCAGCTCCCTCCTCCTCCCAGTCTCTCTCTCCCTCTCCAGCCTGGTCTTCAGCTGTCAGCTGTTGCTATGCACGGATGCTGTGGCTGAGGTTGTGGTATGACCCAACACCTAGACAGCTAGAGAGAGGGACAAGCCAACGATAGGAACAAACAGAGAGATGGGGACAAGGCGAGAGATAGAGGCAAGCAGAGGCAGAGAGGTGCACACCCTGAGACACTGCACACACACCCAGCCATGCACACAGGGGCAGGCCACACCGCGGAGGTGAGCACACAGGCAGAGTGGAGCACATGCACGCAGAGGCCAGACGCGCTAGAGGCACACAGACACCCGGATGGACACAGCTGGTTTACACGCACGGGGGAGCAGGCACAGACAGAGACAAATGCACAGCTGCACCGAGAGACGAGCACACCCACCATGTCTTCAGAGCCTGCCCTGCTTCCTCGCCTGGCAGAGAGGCAAGCGACCAGAGGACACACAGGCAGGTGTACGCTGGCACTGCCAGCCCAGAAGACAAGCCCAGGCGCGAACAAGCAGACAGATAGAGGGATGTGACAGACACTCACACAAAAGATCAGGGAGGCTGCGAAGATGAGGCAGGCAGGCAGCCGGCCAGCCAGGGGACAGGAATCTGGGTGCCAGTGGAGCAGAGAGGAGGCAGGAGTGGCCAGGCCAGAGGCTCCGAGAATTCTGAGCCCCAGCCTCAAGCCCAGGGGTGTGGCAACAGTGGGTGGGGACCTTGGGTGCCCAGGACAGAGGCCCATCAGTCCCACCCCATCTATCCTTCTGCTACAATCTCAGGTCACCCCCTTCTCCCTCCAGCCACACACACACACACACACACACACCTCCCTTCCTCCCTTCTCGGGGTCTTTGCCTGTCCCCTTATGTCTCCATCTCTGTATCTCGTCTCTCGTTCTGTTTATATCGCCCCTGCCCCTGGTTCTGCCCGTCTCTTCCTCCTGCTAGACCCTCTCCTTGCTGTTCCTGGGGGGTAGAGATAGGATGCTGACAGGAGGGGTGTGCCTTCCAAGCCGCAGCTGGGGACCCCTCTCGCTTTGCCCAGGATCTTGAGGCGACAGGCAGAGAATCAGTGGCTCCCCGGGGGCGCCAGATGCACGGCTGGCAGAGGGAGAGAGTGAGGGGGTGGGGCTGCTGGTGGTGTGGTGGGGGAGCAGGCGGAGCGCTGGGGGAGGGAGAGGAGCTGGAGAGGAGCCGCCGGCGGAGGGTGGAGGGGGTGTGGCAGAATAGCCCCTGGGGAGGAAGGGAGAGGCAGGGCTGGGGTCCGCCCGCAGGTGCATAATTAGTGTGCTGGGGAGGGGGCTGTGCCGGGTTTCTGGATGAGCAGCGCTGCAGGAATGCATGCGCCACCTGGTGGACAGATGGGTGCGCAACCTCCCTCTCAAAGATCAAGGACGCCCCTTCTCACCAGGATTCCTCCGCCCTTGGGCCCTTTGTGGAGCCGGGCGGCAGATCTCAGAGGGGGCTTGGAGGCCCAGGTTGGAGGTGAAATCTCAGAGCTAAGAGGGAAGGGGAATGAAAGGCAGTGCTCCTCCTTTGGGAGTTGGGTAAGGGGCCTTTGCAGCCACCCTAAGCTCCTATTTCCTGTTGAGGAGTGGGACTCGGTGTAAAGCTGTGTGACCTGCAGGAGGTCCCCTTCTCGGGCCAGGAGGTGAAGTAGATGGGGGTCCCTTTGATTGTAGCTGTGCTTTCCTGTCCACAGATGGGGGTCTGTGGGTGGCCCACGGGGCCTGGCAAACTGGTTCTCCCTGCTCTCCTTCACTCTAGGACCCCCTTTCTCCTGAGTCCAGGGTTCTACTCCTGGCATCTGATTAACTGGTCTCCATGACATGTGAGATGGCAGCGCTTTAAGAACAACTCCAGGCAGGGAGCTGCGAGGGACCGCCCTGAAGGATGAGCAGTCCCCTCACAAGCCTAGTGTGCTCATGTCTCACGGCGGGACTTCTCCCTGGGGGATGCTTTGGGTAGGGGCGGGGTGGTGTCCCATAAGAGTGACAATGCAGAGAAACAGATCCTGGGGTTAGTATCCCAGAGCCAAGGGAAACAAGATCCAGGGGGGTGAAGTCACCTGCTCAAGGCCACACACAGGGAAGAAGCAGATCTCTCCTGTCAAGTCCAGTGTCACCCCCTTCTCCCGCCACTGCCCAGGTGGAGGGAAAAGGGTACTCAGACGCTCAAGCCCGCCTCCCGCGTGGCGTGGAGCAGGGCTCCCTCTGGTGGCTGAAGCCCGAAAGCACAGCCCAGCTCCCAGAATCTCACACTCATAGGTAGACACAAGTGGCTTTTTTTTTTCTTTTCTTTTCTTTTTTTTCTTTTTCTTTTTTTACAATTTTATTTATAACAATATCTGTTATTTAGTTGTAAAGGAATTCAGCAAAAATTATTAAAACGTTCCGGTCCCCAAAACGGGGCTGCCCGCTTGCCCTTCCTCGGTGTGCCCCACCTCCTCCCCAGGGGAGGGGAGTCTGGGGGACCGTCTACCAAAGTCTCCAGCCCTGGGAGCCACGTGGGGGCACTGGAGATGGGGTGCCTGTCTGGGAGGGGTACCGAGCGTGGCCGTCTCAAGGTTGCCCCTAGAATGGGGACTGGGGCATGGGATGGACGCCCCCAAGAACTAAAAACTCCATCCTTTCCTTCCTACCTTAGCCAGAGCCAAATCCTCCAGACAGGGGCTGTGAGGACTCTCCGCCCCAGAGCCAGCCCTCGGGGAGCCAGGCGGGTATCGGGGGGCTACAGGGAGAGCCCTGGCCAAGTGTCTCGACCAGGAGGGGAGGCAGCACCACCAGCTCTCCCAGTGGAGGTGCGTGTTGGTGGGAAGATGGGAGGTGGGGTCCCTTATACCTGTAAGCCAAAGGAGCCCCCAGGGCCCTCCGTGTCCCCCCCCCCCCCCCGAAGGCAGCATTGGGAGGGGGTGCTGCGGAGTGGGCAGGAGGGAGAAGAATGAAAAGAGATAATACTGTGCTCGCTCGCTCGCTCGCTCACTCACATATAAAAAGTAATTCCTTCATTTTTACATTTATACATCCCGGCGGCGGCCGGGCAGGGCTGGCTGGGCAGGAGGGGCTGGCGGAGGCGGAGGCTCTCTGGGGCAAGTCCGACGGGGCGGGCGGGGCCGGGCCTACGCCAAAGGGTCCCCTAGCTCATCCTCAGGGCCCCGGCCCAGGAGTTCTCTCTTCTCATCCGTGCTGGCCAAGGAGTGGCGGCTGCCGTGGCCGCCCATGTAGAGGGTGGCGTACACGGGGTTGGTGAAGTTGGTGGGCTGCAAGGTGACAGAGGGATCAGGTGGGGCTCAGAGGCCGGGCTCCCCGGCCTTGGCCCCCTCACCCCCCAAACACCCTCATTCACCCCCCCCATCCGCAGTCTCTCACCCCTGCCCCCGAAGCCGACTCCTCTGCCCCCCCCCCCCCCCAGCCCACCTTGTCAGGGTCCAGGGCAAAGTCTGCATCCAGGAGGCCTCCCACGTCATCAGGCTCCCCGCCTTCGTACATCTTGTAGGTGGGGTTCCCGATCTCCACGTTCATGGCCCCGTTGGTCATCCGCTGGTGCTGGAAGCCCTTGGCCCTGGGGAGAGGCAGGAGCACAGGGGCAGAGACTCTAGAGGGGCAGGGCGAGGGGTGGCCATGACTAGGATTCCCCAGACTCCCCGCAACTCACCCCCGCACTCGCCGCTTGTACCAGAACACCACGCCAGCTGCCAGGAGCAGCAGCAGCAGCAGCAGCAGCGGGATCAGGATGGAGGCCATATCTAGGGGGGAGGAGATGGGAAACGGTCCAGAAGGCACAGGAAGCAGGGTCCCCCCCACCCCCCCCAGTTCCAGGTCCCGGCAGCCATGCCTCCCCGCCCCTCTGCCACCTACGTCCAGACTGCTGCTGGCTGATCACTTGCTCTTCACACCGGGGTCCTGCCATGTGGGGCGGGCACCTGCGGACAGGAGGGCAGAGCTGAGCAGGCACGGCTCCGAGCCACGGCTGCCCGGGAGGTGGAGAAGGGCCACGGGGCCCTGATGGTCCCGCTGAGACTTGGGGAAGGGGATGATCTAGGCCTCAAGGAGGCTCAGGCCCAACTCACTGGCACTCAGGCATCATTTTGCTGTTCATGGTGCAGGAGCCGCCATTGCTGCAGTGGCCAGCGCAGGTCAGACAGCTGGGGGCCATCCGGCC